TAAATCTTGATCTGTTGACTTGTTTACTGTTTACAGTGAAGGAACCAAAATGAAAACATTTCCCTTTCTAAACTACAGCAGTCGGTCTCCTCAGTTCTCAAACACTAACAGAGTGTTGTTAAGAGAAGAGGTCATACAGCACAGTGGTAAACAGGCCCGTCCCAACTTTTTTTAAACAAGGCTGTAAAGTAATATAAAACAATGACAGAACAAATTAAAAAGATAAATAATTAAAACATGTAGAATTTTAATGAAACACCAAGTTAAAGAGATACGTTAAATGTGTGCACTGAGCTTTACTCTCTGAAAGAGTCTCTCCTTTTCTGTACTTTACAGAAGGTGTTTGCAGAAGGTCAGTATCTGCATATCTAAGATCTCATGCTGGAACATAAACAGACAGACACTCTGTGATGAAAGCAGTGCTTTAAGCTCATTTAAAGCCTTAAAAACTAGTAGCAGAACTTTAAAATCTATCCTGAAAGATGCAGTCAGTGCAGTTCTTTCTAAACGGGAGTGATCTGATCTCTCTGGTTAGTTTTTGTTAGGATTCGTTCTGCTGCATTTGCTGTAGAGGATGGACTGAAAGACAAGCTTAGATATCCCCATCTGTCCACATTGGCAAATAATCTTTTTTAGTTTCATCTTTTTCAGTTTCATCTTAATATTTGTAATTACTCATTACAAATATTAGTCACTAATTTTTTAATCAGTCAAAATCCAGCACATTTTTCTTTTTTATTAAAACATCAAACAAAATTCATATTAGTGTTGGTGAAACTGCCAACAACCAAGATGCAAAATACAGGGGGTTCTGGGGGATCGTAGCCCCCCCAGTTGGACCCCATGAATGTCTCAAAATCAAAATTCAGGTGGGTCACTGACAACAACCTTATGATATTCAGCTGTCTGTTTGGGAAAAACAGAAGCTCAAATTCAAATTCAGGGAAAGGTCATTGTTTAGCTGCTTCACTCAGGAAATGATGAGATTCTGTCTTTGATTTTCTTAACTAGCTAGTGATGCAGCACTGCTCTGCCTCAGGGTGGCGCTGTTGCAAACTGGTTCACGCAGTTGATCCTTCATAGCCTATTAACTGTAACTATGCCCAGAATACCTCTGAACAACTTTACAATATGTTGTAGCTTTTTTACAAATCTAAGAAACTGACCAAGAGACTGAATGACTGAAGTGAAAGAGTTAGCAGCCAACATGTAACCCCCCCAAACACCAGGGGTCATTTCACTCCCAACAACTATACAATATCATCTTTTAAGGACACGTATCAATTATTAATCTAAACCCTTTCTACTCTGTACATTTAACTGCAGGTACAGAATAAAAGACCAGACCAGATCTTCACCTAATGCAATAAAAGTATCCATAAATCATGCCCAGTAATCTTCCTTTTTGAGGATTTGTTCTGAGAAAGTTGGTAGAGATTGAGCTCAGGTTTAGTGCTGGTTCACAAAATCCTTCTATTTTAGTTTTGCTTGATCTCAATGCACCTTTCAAAACAGCTGATCATAAGATTCTAATCCACCTTCTTGAAAACTCCACTTTAACATTTCTAGTGGAGTCACTAAAGGTTTGATTACAGAGTTTAGCTTTTTTCATTATGCATGTTACTGTTAATGTCATCAGAACACATTAGATCAATTTTCATAGCTATGATAAATGATACACTACTGAGACTCCAGTCTCCATTCCCTCTGTTGACAGGCTGACCAGCTGGGTGCCAGATATTTCTCAGTGGATGTCTAAAATGTTTATACTTTTAAATTGAGGAAAAAACTGAAATGCAGTAAAATTCAGAGAAAGCTGCTTTGTGAGAAACGAGGCCTCCTTTCATCGCAATTCAAATCTGAAGAATGAATCATTCATCTATCTCTGGTTTATCCTCCATTTGAGTAACGTTATTAAGACTGTATTCTATCATTTATCAAACAGGCCGACTGCTAAACTCTTCTGTCTCAGAGTGATGCAGAAGAACGTGTTTGTACGTTTGTTACAAGTAGAGTTGATCACTGTACTGATCTTTACCTCACTGCTGTTTGGAAACAATAGTTCTGGTTACCTGAATCTTTCAGGTTTGAAGTTTATTAAAGTTTATTAGTTAAGTTATTTTACTTGTTTTAAAAGATCTAAATGGCCTTACTGGCATACCTCACTGCAGATACCACCTTTTACTAGACAGTCAAGCTCAGTACACACGTTCTTGATTCTTTTACATCATTTATATTATTGTCTGTTTTTTTATTTTATCTTTTTTTTTAATCTTATCTTTATCTTGTTCATTACTGTTCTTGAATTTTGCTGTTTGTACTTTCAGATGCTTCTTGTATGTACAGTCCTCTATAAACAATAATAATTATTATTATTATATATATTATACATTATATTATAATTATTATTATACTTTTATTATAATAATTATTATTATTATCTTTTTTTGTTTTTACAGTTATTGAAAACATAAAATTACAAAATACTTGAGGTTTGACTTGCCTGCATTAGTTGGGTCTCTTCTGGTCACACTTTACTCTTTCATTCACATGAGTTAATATAGTAATGACATGACATAATACTGTATTGACGTGATGAGCTGACAATAAATTTGAAGAAAAGGTAACAATTTTTTAGCCTATACTTTCTTAATATTCACATTATGGTCTTCATTCAGGAGACAAACAGAGGCTTCTCCCCTGTATATAGGCTAATAGTTCAGACAGTGTTATCCATAAAGGCTAAAAAGCTACGGCCATATGCAGCACTTACAAAGATATTCCAAACCTGATTAATTAACAAACATGTCCCAGATTTTTGTAAAGGCGTATTATTATTTTAAGGGTGAGCTTGCGAATGTATATTCGAGTACTCAATCGTATCACTGATTATTCAAAGCCTGTAAAGCGCAGTTCAGGAAAATCCTATTGACTAATTATTTGTGTGTAATTACAAAAAATACTTAAAGACCCACTGGACACTGCAGGACCCAATACGCTCACTAATCTATTTCTATGGCATTTTTCAGTAATTTTGAACGGAAGATTTTGAATGAATGTCTTTAGGAAACAGGCTTTTTGACCTCTTTTCACGTAGAGTGGCACAGTCAGGTGAAAAGGAATTACAGTCTATATATGCTGGGATTTACTGTTCAGTGTAAATGAAAAATCTGATGGAAAATGAAATCCGATATCTTGGGTAAAATTGTTTTGTTTTACATCTTTATTATTCTTAAAGTGTTTGAATTTATCCCCATCTAAAGACTGAACAGCAGACCTTAAAACTAAACCTTAAAAGCAGTGTTTCCCATATCACTACATCACGTGCCGCATGGCTGGGAGGAGATGCACTTTATGAACAAAAGTTTGTGGACACCCCTCCTAGTTATTGAGTTCAGGAGTTTCAGCCACACTCACTGCTAACAGGTGTATAAAGTAAAGCACATAGCCTTGCAGTCTAGATAGACAAACACTGGCAGTAGAACAAATCGTACTGAAGAGCTCAGTGACTCTAAACCTGGCACTGTCATAGGACGCCACCTTTGCCTCAAGTCGGTTCAAGAAATTTCTGCCCTGCTAAATCTGCCCCGGTGAACTCTGAGTGCTACTATTGTACATGCAAAAACTCACAGAGCAGGGCAGTCGAGCTCTGAAGCATGTAGCATCTAAAAATCGCATATCCTCTGTTTTATCATTCACTACAAAGTTCAAAACTGCATCTGGAAACAACATCAGCAGAAGATCTGTGAGGAGCTTCAAATGGGTTTCCATGGCTGAGCAGCTGCACAGAAGCCTGCGATCACAATGCGCAATGCCAAGTGTCAGCTGGAGTGGTGTAAAGCACCCCGTCACTGGACTCTGGAGCAGTAGAAACATGTTCTTTGGAGTGATGAATCACCCTTCACTATCTGGCAGTCTGATGGACAAATCTAAGTTTGGCAGAGAGCAGAGGAACGCAACCTACTGTAATGCATTGTACAAACAGTGTTTGGTGGAGTAGGGATAATGGGCTGGGGCTGTTTGTCAGGATTTTTGCCCCTTAGTTCCAGTGAGGGTTAATAATAATGCTACAAATGCTACAAAAGCATACAAATTAATTTTAGACAATTCTATGCTTCCTGCTTTGTGGCAGCAGTTTGAGCCTCTGTGCAAATTCTATAAAGACATGCCTTAGTGAGTTTGGTGTGAAGGAACTCCAGTGGCCTGCACACAGCTCTGACCTCAACCCCACTGAACACCTTTGGGATGAACTGGAATGTCAACTGTGAGCCAGGCCTTCTAGTCAAACATCAGTGCCTGACCTCACAAATGCTTTTTTGACTGTATGGGTATAAATTCCCAAAAATACACCCCAAAATCTTGTGGAAAGCTTACTGTTACTGGTTGGCACTAATTTTTCTGTTCATATGTTTCTGAAAATTGCTTCTCATTTTAATGAAGTTCTGAAATTCTCTACTATTTTTCCACTTTCATCACCTGCTTCAGCCGCTGCTCTCCTTCAGCCCCCCAAGCAGGACACCTGCCTGTCTCATAATACACTGCTTTGATCAATGCACAAAGAGATCCACAAAAAAAAACATAATGTGTTTTGAGATCATTTTAGGAAACCCACTAAATAAAAAAATACTTTTTTAAAAAAAAATAACACTATTAATACTTGTTTATTGGCTTTTCTTAAACTCAATCAGTGGAGAGAGAACAGAATAAAATGTAGCATATTAAATATGGTATAATATTGGAGGCAGAAGATGGTACAGTATTGGAGTAGATTGAGGAAGTGACGAAGCCTCAGCTGTGGTTCCTTGGTGAGCACTCCAATCTGCTCCAATACTGTACCACCTTCTGCCTCCAATATTCTACCATATTTAATATGCCACCTTTCATTCTGTCCTCTGTTCTTTAATTGAGGTCAACAAACAAGTATTAATGGTGTTATTTTTAAAAATTTTATGTTTTTTTTATTTAGTTGGTATCCATAAAATCTTAAAAGTTTAAAAAGGTAACTGTGTCCTGAATGTTGCCTGTTCAAAATGTAACTTGGACTGAACTCAGACACCTCATTTCTTTCTACTTGTATACTTTTACATCCCAACCCTGCACATTGTAGTGATTTCCTGCACCAACACATCCACTTTAACTCAGTAAGGGCTTGTTAATCAGGACAGGGGTTTTCTGGATTTCATTCCACTAAAATCATGGAAAACTTTATGACTAAAATCACTCTTAAAATAAACAGTGCAGTAAAATGTGTAATAATGAAAATACTCACTCAGCTTTTCTGGATGCTGTAACGACTGGCAGAAGCCTCAGAAGACATTCATCTGATGGGTCATATTTTCTCAGATTAAACTCATCCAGCTCTTCCTCTGAGTTCAACAACACAAACACCAGAGCTGACCACTGAACAGGAGAGAGGGGGACTCCAGATAGACAGGGATAGTTTCCTCTGTTCAGGTATGTCTGGACTTCCTGCACTAGAGAGTGGTCATTCAGTTCATTCAGACAGTGGAACAGATTGATGTATTTCACTGGAGAGAGATTCTCCCTGAGCTTCTCCTTGATGTACTCAACTGTTTCCTCTCTGCAGTTAGAAGTGCTTCCTGTATGAGTCAGTAGACCTCGTAAGAGAGTCTGATTGGACTCCAGTGAGAGACCCAGAAGGAAACGGAGAAAAAGGTCCAGGTGTCCATTCTCACTCTGTAAAGCTCTGTCCACTGCACTCTTGAGAAAATCAGTCACTGTTGATTCTGAATGTGTTTGTTGTTTCAGCACATTTCTGTTCTGAGAAATAAAGGAGAAAAATGCAAACAAAGCAGCCAGAAACTCCTGAACACTCAGATGGACAAAGCAGTAAACTTTACCCAGACGCTTCCCAAACTCCTCTCTGAAGATCTGAGTGCAGACTCCTGAGTACACTGACACTTCTCTGACATCAATGCCACACTCTCTCAGGTCTTCCTCATAGAAGATCAGGTTGCCTTTTTCCAGCTGTTGGAAAGCCAGTTTTCCCAGAGCCAGAATAATCTCTCTAGTCTGCCGAGGATCAGGGTCACATTTTCCATGGTACTTTTGGTCTTTGTGTTTGATCTGAAAGATCAGGAAGTGTGTGAACATTTGAGTCAGAGTCTTGGGGATCTCTCCACTCTCTGCTTCACCCAGCATCCTCTCCAGAACAGTGGCTGCAATCCAACAGAAGACCGGTATGTGGCACATGATGTAGAGGCTTCTTGATGACTTCATATGTGTGATGACTCTGTTGGCCAGACTCTGGTCACTGACCCTCTTCCTGAAGTATTCCTCTTTCTGAGGGTCATTGAATCCTCGTACCTCTGTTACCTGGTCAACACACTCAAGCAGGATCTGACCACATGCTGCTGGTCGAGAGGTGATCCAGAGAAGAGCAGAGGGAAGAAGATTCCCTTTGATGAGGTTTGTCAGCAGCTCATCCACTGAGGCTGACTGTGTTACATCAGACAAGCTCTCATTGTTCTGGAAATCTAGAGGAAGTCGACTTTCATCCAGACCATCAAAGATGAACAAGACTTTGTACTGATAATAATCTGATGGGTTTAACTTTTTTATGTCTGTGAAAAAGAGACGAAGAAGATCAACCAGACTGAGTTTTCTACTCTTCACTGAATTCAGCTCCCTAAAAGGAAGTGGAAATATGAAGAGGATGTCCTGATTTGCTTTTCCTTCAGCCCAGTCCAGAATGAACTTCTGCACTGAGACTGTTTTCCCAATTCCAGCAACTCCATTAGTCAGTACAGTTCTGACGGCTGTGTCTTTAAAGAGGTCACTGCAGTTGATGGGTCTCTCCTGTGCTGCTGGTCTCCTGGACGCTGTTTCAATCTGTCTCACCTCATGTTCATTATTGATCTCTCCACTCCCCCCTTCTGTGATGTAGAGCTCTGTGTAGATCTCATTCAGAAGTGTTGAGCCTCCATGATATGAGATTCCTTCATTAATTCTCTGGAATTTCTTTTTCAATGTAGATTTGAGGTTTTGATGACAAGCAGGAGCCAGTTCTGAAAAAAGTTTATTACAATAAACAATAACAATAAACATGTTAATGTCTGACATCCTTACCACAAACACAATAACACACATTACCCTTCTATCAACCCGGAGCACAATATTAAACTGAACTGTGCTCTGTGGTTCTCTTGTCTAGGAATCATCAGCAAAATTAAATAAGCACAATTAATTTAGATAATAAAGGATCATCTTCTTGCTCTCTATTTTCTTCCTTCCAGATTGTTTATATTTAAGTGTCCAGAATTTCTATGCTCAGTTTACTCGTTACTAGTAAAATAATTAACTTTATTATGGAAAAGAAATAACGGAATGAGCTCTGTATCAGGGAAACTGTGTCAGAACAGACCGTGTATGTACAAAGGGGTGGAATTAGAGATTCTGAGGTTCTAGGTCCTGGTGGCATATTTTTTAATTAGCGGAGGCTCTGGGTGGTCCCCGAGTGGCACAACCGTCTACACTGCACAAAATGGAAGTGTGCTCACGCGCTCATTCATGCAGATGCATGCATGATCCCACATTGACTCACCCTGTAAAATATATCCATAACATCCTAGGCTGTACTTAGGAACAACAAAATGCACTAAGGTCTGTTACTGTATGCCCCTTAAACCAAACACTACTTTTGTATCCTTTTTTCTTTTTTTCTCTTGTTAATTATTTGCTCTCTGTTGTATTTTACTTTTTTTGGCTTGTTTTTTTTGTGTTTTTTGCCTTTTTTCCCCTCTTCCCATATTTTTTTTCTCTGAAAAAACAAAAACTAAACTAAACCTCTCTTATCACTGCCATATATTCCAGATATTAAAGATGTATCTCTGTTCACATACACAACACTCTACACCACACACACCAGAAGACAATCGCAAACATCTTCACACTCATTTAACAGCTTTAATACACACCATTGAATTCTACACTACACATGTCGTCACTTAAGTTTGTTACCGGGAACATTCGTAGTATTGGCACACAGGCTAAAGAGACCAAGGTACTACACCTTCTATTTTCTTCAAAGGCAGTTATCTGTTTACTACAAGAAACACATCTATTAGAAACAAATCATCACAAATTGAAGTCAGCACAGCTCAGTCACATATTCTCAGCTTACTACAACTCCAAACACAGAGGTGTTTCCATCCTAATAAATCAAAACATCACTTTCAAACATAACATTACTATATCAGACTCAGAAGGAAGGTATATCATAATCAACATTAGCATTTCCAACAACTCCTTAACTACTGCAAATATATATGGCCCAAATACTGATGACCCACCCTTTTTTCAGGAGTTTTTCACTCATCTTTATTATTACATCTAATATACCAGACATAACATACCACCCTATAGTAATTAGTGACCTTACCCCTGTTTCACTCAAGTGGAATATAAATCACGTACACAAATCTTTCAGATGGCGCCTTAATACTTCTCTCCTAAAAGATCTAGAATTTGATAGTTATATCAGAAAAGAGTGGGCATCCTTCCTAGAAATAAATGACTCTCCAGAAACTCCACCAACACTACTTTGAGAAACCGGGAAAGCCATACTAAGAGGCAAAATAATATCCTACTCCTCCCATAAGAAAAAGATACAGAAAACGAATCTAATCTACGACAAAAAATTAAGGAATTATCAAATAAGATGTTAAACAACCCCACAGATAAAACTGAAAATGAGCTAAGGAAATGTAACACGCAATACAGTGAACTCATAAATAAGAAGACTCAATTCCTAATACAACAATTAAGACACAAAAATTTTGAACACAGCAACAAATCTGGAAAACTCTTGGTTAATCTAGTAAAACATAAAGAAAAAACAACAATACCAGTAATCAAGGATGAGACAGGAAATATTATGCAAACACCAGAGGAGATCAATCAAGTATTCTGAAAATTTTATAAAAATCTATACTCACTGGAACACAATCCAGAAACAGAAGACATTTGCACTTTTCTTAATAACATAAACTTTCCAAGACTGACTGAAGAACAAACACAAATACTGGAAATTCCAATAACATCAGAAGAACTTTATAATGCCCTTCACCACATGTCTAATAATAAAGCACCTGGTCCTGACGGCTTTCCCACTGAATTTTATAAACACTTCTGGACAATACTCGCCCCACTATTCAATAGAATCACAGCTGAAATAAAGCATAACAAGATTTTACCATCTGAAATGAATATCGCTATAATCTCACTTCATCTCAAACCTAACAAAGACCCCACCCCACCCTCCAGCTACCGTCCACTATCACTCATTAACACAGACATAAAAATTATAAGCAAGACTTTGGCGACTAGATTAGAAAACCCATCACTTATACATCCCGATCAGACCGGTTTTATCAAAGGAAGACATTCAACCACTAACATGCTCAGACTACTTAACTCGATACACCACACATCGATTCACAAATCAGAAACTGCAATAGTCACATTAGATGCAGAGAAAGCTTTTGATAAAGTCAATTGGAAATTCTTGTTCACCACATTGCACAGAATGGGGCTCGGAGAATCATTTATTAATTGGATAAAAATTCTTTACACTGCACCAAAGGCCACAGTCAATACTAATGGACCAATATCTCCAAATTTCACACTGCACAGAGGTACTAGGCAAGGGTGCCCCCTCTCACCCCTCCTATTCTCAATGTTTATAGAACTGTTGGCAGCAGCTATACGACAAAACACAAACATAAAAGGTATCCACACCTAAACTGTAAAACACAAAATCAGTTTATATGCAGATGACATCCTACTGTTTTTGCAGAATCCACCACATTAATCCCTCAAACCATACAAATTATTGAAAAATACTCCAAAATCTCCAATTACTCTGGACTAAACTCGACTAAATTTACCATACTACATACTACCAATCAACATGAACTTATCAGATACAGCAGCACAGTCTCTTCCTATCCCCTTGAGCACCCAATCACATATCTGGGCATCAAAATTTCCTCCCAGCTGTCAGAGCTGCCTAAACTCAATTTTAACCCATTACTCTCAACTATAAACAATGACCTCAAACGCTGGATGAACTTTCCACTATCTCTTATTGGCAGAATATCTACGATCAAAATGACCAAAAGTAAACTATTTTTTCTCAGTGATTCCAATTCAACCCCACTCTACCTGGTTCAAAACCTTACTCTATTATCTCCAAATTTTACTGGAAAAATAAACCACCTAGGATCAAATTAGTTACAGAACCACAGAACCCAGGGAGGCCTCGAAGCCCCCAATTTCCAACAATACTTCAGAATTCCTGAACATCTTCTCCTCAAAAAATATATTATCTAAAATTTATAAATTCCTATCTGAGTTAGACCAAAGAATTTATGTACCAAGGAAAAAGTGGGAAAAACATTCTGGAAAACACATTTAGCATGACTAACAATACTAACCTCCACCTCATACAATATAAGGTAATTCACAGAGTACACTACACTGGGAAAAGGCTCTATAAAATGGGATTAATAGACTTTGAAATCTGTAGACACTGTTCACTAAACACTCCTGACAGTTATATACATGCCTTGTCGTATTGCACACCAGTCAAGTACTTCTGGCAACTTGTTATAAATCAACTAACTCCATTGTTAAAACAACCCATTTCCCCATCACTCTGTTAGTTAGGTGACACATCATCAGTCCATCTAAACAAGGAAGAAAAGAGAACACTTTTGATGGAGCTAACCATCACTAAAAAGACCATTCTGACAAACAAAAAAAAAACCCAAAAAACTTTACACTGCACAAAATGATGTCTTGGCAATTGAAATGAAAATTCATCTTAAATCATCTAGCCAATATACCTAATTTCAGTATCTGATTTTGAGATTGAGGTAAGAATATTATTAGAGTCTTTAAAAAGCCCAAATCCTACATTTATCATGTATTTTATTTTTTTAACTGTTTATCACTTATAATGTTTGTGTGGGCTTTTTTTTCATTTTAACCCTAGACTGTATGGACTGGAGAGTGAATGGTATGTTTTCAAATTTAACAAAATATGCATAAAACATAATACATCTCTAAAAAAATTAGAAGGATGTTTTTCCATTTTAACTTATTTCTAGACATTTTTACTTGTTATAAGTTATTTTATTAAATAAAGTTTTCTCATTATATTAGCAGATAATTTTACTTATTTTAAGAAATATGACAGACACAAATATAATCATCTGCTAGTACAGTGAGATAATTTCACTTAATAAAATTACTAAAACAATCAAGTAAATACATTTAACATGCACAATATACAGTGGGTGAAATAAGTATTGAACACGTCACCAATTTTCTAAGTAAATATATTTCTAAAGGTGCTATTGACATGAAATTCTCACCAGATGCCAGTAACAACCCATCCAATCCACACATGTAAAGAAATCAAACCATAGATGTCCATAAATTAAGTTATGTGTAATAATGAGAAATGACACAAAAGTATTGAACACATGAAGAAAGAGAGGTGCAAAAAGCCATGGAAAGTCATGACACCAGCTGAAATCTATCAGTAATTAGAAAACAATCCTGCCACTTAGTGCAAATTAATATCAGCTGGTTCAACTGACGGCCTATAAAAAGGTGTCTCATTACCAAGGTGCCACACAAGAAACATTTCATGATGGGTAAAACCAGTGAGCTCTCTCAAGACCTTTGCAACATTATTGTTGGAAAACATACCAATGGCATTGGTTACAGAAGAACTTCTAAACTACTGAAGGTTCCAGTGAGCACTGTTGGAGCCATAATCCGGAAGTGGAAAGAACATCATTTCACCATAAACCGGCCATGTCCAGGTGCTCACCGCAAGATTTCAGACAGAGGAGTGAACAGAATTATCAGAAGAGTTGTCCAAGAGCCGGTCAGCAGGTACATTTGTTTTGAAGAAAACAATAAGTAATGCACACAATCGTCATGGCCTGTATGCACGCTCACCACGCAAGACTCCTTTGCTGAAGAAAAAGCATGTTGAAGCGCGTTTAAAGTTTGCTCAACAACATTTAGACAAGCCTGTGAAATACTGGGAGAATATAGTCTGGGCAGATGAGACCAAAATTTAACTCTTTGGATGCCATAATACACACCATGTTTGAAGGTCAAAAGGCACTGCATATCACCCCAAAAACACCATACCAACAGTGAAGTTTGGAGGTGGGAACATCGTGGTGTGGGGTTGTTTTTCAGCATACGGCACTGGCACGCTTCATATAATTGAAGGAAGGATGAATGGAAAAATGTACCGAGACATTCTTGATAAAAATCTGCTGCCATTTACCAGGATGATGAAGATGAAACAAGGGTGGACATTTCAGCAAGACAATGATCCCAAACACACAGCCAAGGAAACTCTCAACTGGTTTCAGAGAAAGAAAATAAAGCTGCTAGACTGGCCCAGCCAATCACCTGACCTGAATCCAATTGAAAATCTATGGAAGGAACTAAAGCTCAGAGTTCATAGTAGGAGCCCAAGGAACCTTGAGGATTTGAAGAGTGTTTGTGTGGAAGAATGGGCCAAAATCACACCTGAGCAATGCATGCGACTAGTTTCTTCATACAGGAGGCGTCTTGAAGCTGTCATCACCAACAAAGGCTTTTGTACGAAGTATTAAATAAATTTCAGTTAGCATGTTCAATACTATCTCTCTCTGTCATTTCTCAATATTACACATAACTTAATTTATGGACATCTATGGTTTGATTTCTTTACATGTGTGGATTGGATGGGTTGTTACTGGCATCTGGTGAGAATTTCATGTCAATAGCACCTTTAGAAATATATTTACTTAGAAAATTGGTGACGTGTTCAATACTTATTTCACCCACTGTATCTACTTTGTATTTTCATGGGGCCCCTTAGCCTCATGCAAAGATCACCACTGTATATTCAGGCTTTCCAGAGCTGCTCAGTGTTCTTACTGGTTTGTAGTGTGTTGGCGAGGTCTGTCTGGTTCATGTTCCTCAGGACGTGCAGTGCGATCTGCTGTGTTCCTTGTCTGACACTCTGATCCACCTCACCCTCCACCTCCCTCTCAGAGCATGCTGGGAAATCTGGACTCAGTACCTTCTTGAACCTCTTCAGCTGATTCTTCACCAGAGAGATGAGTTTGTGCTCCAGTTCCTGATTGGACATAAACATTAACAGAAAACGACTGAAGTACCACCATGTCATAGTTCAGTGGTTCTCATATCAGGACCACTGAGAAACTTTAAAACTGGACTGCAGATATTTTTTATGTAATAAAACACTTGATAAAAACAACAAACTGCTCAAAATCACATCAGTGTACTACATATTAGAGTCAGTAAGATAATGACCCCAAACACAGAAATATCAGAGTTTTGCCCTTTCAGTGTCCAGATTTAAACCTAGTTGAAAACTTGTGGTGTGAATTGAAGAGGGCCGTCCACGAGCAAAGACTGAAGAAGGAACTGAATATGTTCTGCATAGAGGACTGATCTGAGATTCCTCAACAAGTGTTTTCCACCTTTGATCAGCATTACAGAAAACAGCTCAATGTTGTTACTCTTGCCAGAAAAAGGCAGGGGAAAATAAAAATATTCTGCTTGCCCATTTCTTTATGCTCGAAATATCACTCATTGCATGTGTGGTTTATATAATATACTGATTTTAGCTAATTTTCATGAAGGCTGTCCATGATTCTGGATGAATATAGGCTACATGTTGTTAACTGAAAATTTCACAGCTATTCACTTGATATTTGAATTACCAATGTTTTTAATTGATATATGGAGATTTAAAAAAATTGAATCTTTTTTTATATTTTATTTTAATAGTTTATTATGGTAAGTTAAGGAAAACAGTATGGGACAATATGTATTTTAAAAAAAACTGAAAAATGGTGCCTAACTGTTTTATATGGTCACTAATATACATGTATAAACTATATTCAGTTACAGTTTTAACATATTTACATTTAGGAAGCGAATAACGATTCACAGAGCACAAAAGATATTTTGGAGGGCTGTTTCTGGACCCACAGGGTGACTTTTTGATTTATAATGTTCCCCTTGTGATTTTGAGGAGTACAACTGGCAAATTATCACTTTAAAGACTTTCTTTGATGTCGTATGCACAGATGAACAGATTCATTTGTGTCATACTGTGATATCATTTATGTTTATTATAGGGTTTATGAATGAAGGGACATTTATATAAAAGGAGGCCCTGAGTTGATACAGCATTCAACACGTGTGCTGATAAAATAGAATTTTAAGCAGGTTCTGCCAATGTAGACATGTTGTTAGATCTTAAGTAGTTACCTGTTAGTAACATTAGTCTCTATGGACTCAAACAAATCATACATACTACTCATTAAAGATGACCAGACAGAATCAATGGGGATTAGTATCAGTGTGATCTAATGTGATAGTAATAGTAACAAATCTATCCTGAAACAGCACTCAGTCACACTGTGTGATGTGATGTTAGCTGTGTAGTTCTTCCTGTGGGGTAGTGGAGTGTGTGAGTAGTTAATACTACAGGCTGATTGGAGATTAATGTGAGATTCTCAGGAGAAAATATACACATTTTACCCACAATTATCTGCATATACATGTACAAACACACACCTGGAATATGGACTCCAGACGTGTCATGGTGATCTTTGCTCTCTCCTTTTGGGCTCTATGGAAAAGAAAAAACAAAATTTTAATCTGTATCATATTTATACAGCATGAACCACTAAACAGACCAACAGGTAAAACTACCATGATTAAACACATTAAAGCTGCATGAGTCAAAACTGAAGATATGTGAACCTCTACCAGTTAAACAGGTGAACTACAACAACATGGGAATGATCTTTAGTGTTTGGATCCCCCTCCCATTCCCACCCATCAACACAAAGCAAGCTGTAGAATCGACGGTGACCAGTGGAGTTCATTTAGTGTTTGTTAGCATTACTAAACACTGTCATGACTTCAATTTCTAGTGATGAGGTAGACAGTTTATTACCAGTATCTCCTTTCAATTTGGATATAGATGATGAAAGTGTAGCTTTATGCTAACGTGGCTTGAGAGGAGATCAAAATACTCAGTACAGCCTACATAGAGCACATTGACTGTGGTCCTTTTCAAAGCTAAAGCTCTATTCAAGTTGGATTAGTTTCGACAGAGGAGGTCTGGTAATGTTATTTGTGAGGGATTCCACTGGTCAATTTATACAGGATAAAGTCTCTGTGTAATTTCCCCAAATTACCCCAGACAGCCCAGATCAAAATGTTAAAGTCCAAGCTATGACATCAATAAAGTCATAGCTAAACAGATCCAAATAAAAACTGCAAAAATGAACTTCCAGTTAACAGCAGTTAGAAGAGTATTAGGCTAGTAAAGTGTGGTCACTTAACTTTAAAATGTGCCCCAACAGGACAGAAAATGCTCTGCTTTGCGAGAGACACCTTCAGATATTACCACATCATAAAAAAAGTGTTGATTACAGTTACTGTTTTGAACTTGAGGATGAAGGAACTGTGCCAAGCCAAGCTTGATTTTACCAGTTAGCCTCGTCTCCTGGTAGCCAAAAAATAGTTGTTGAGTTGTTTTATCAGGTTCTGTTAATACATTACAGTGATGTCAATTCAAACATGACTACTAATAATATAATAATTATTATTAATAAACAATTAAACTAAATTTATTTAATAATTTGCACCAGAATTATTTGTTAGCAGACTTTAAAAAAACTACATCGTAGATTCATATTGCATTAAAATTATGGAACTTGTCAGTAACATGACTACTGGCCAATTCATCTGTGGTAAAATCATAACTCTGGAGTCATTTGAGAATTCATGTGTAAGAAGTAGGAAAATGATGGTGAATCCATGATAAAGAGTATTAACAGACATAAAGCTCAGCTCTTCTCTTAAATAGAGAATCTACCAGTAGATCTTATTATAGTGATCTGAGATAAACTGGCTATGCCTCGATCCAGACAGTAGGGGGCGATCACAGGCTTTTCCTCATTCTAGATAAAGCCATCTATGGGGAAACTGCACTGGTGTTTACTGTGGTCTTTTACTCCCTCTATTCAGGTATAAATCCATCAAAATATGGTTTCATATAGTTGGAAGTGGAACAGTAAAGACATATTAAACTAACAGTGTTTATATGATGTTTGTGAAAGAAGTTAATTCAGTAATGGTGTCGAGTGTTTCTGGAAAAGTCCAGTGGAGATGCTGAGTTAACTCAAAGGGAAAAGCCAGAGCTGACGGCGTTCCATAACCACGGAGAATAATTAGTGTTGAATGTGAAGATGTTGTTTCTGTTATTAATGTTCTTTTACTCCAACAGCTTGGAAGTTTTCCATTAGTGGTCTGGATGTGTGTATAATGGAGATTGGAGTGACAGGAACAGCTTTATTGTTCCTTGGTGTGGATTCTACAAGTCTCTGGAACTGTACTGCAGTGATGGAACACCGTTCTTCCAAAAGATACTCCCTCAGTTGGAGGTGGAGAGCGCTGTCTAACATGCTGCTCCAAAATCTCCCATAGCTGTTCAACTGGGTTGAGATTTGGTGAGTGTAAAGGCCGCAGCACAGCCCATAAGGCAGACGTCACTTTAGTCACTGTTTCTATGGAAACACTGGCCAGATGAGCAGCCTTTGTGACTGAAGCTCTGTGCCCCAATAATGACCCTCTTTCACAGTCATTTACATCCAAAGTTGAGGTCAGATGGGTCAGCTCAGCATTTTTATACATGACATAGAGCACAGTGGGATGTTATTTACTTAATAGTATAAACAAATATAGAGTGTATAGTAGAGTGACAGTGTGGCAAGTAAAAAAAATGGTACTTACTTCTTGTAGAGTGATACTACTCTACATTACTAGTACTAGTAATAACTGTAGTGGTACATGATTTGTTGCCCAGTAGCTCATAAACAGAATAATTCATCTGTGGTAAAATCATAACTCTGGAGTCATTTGAGAATTCATGTGTAAAAAGTAGGAAAATGATGGTGAATCCATGATAAAGAGTATTAACAGAAATAAAGCTTAGCTCTTCTCTTAAATAGGGAATCTACCAGTAGCTCTTATTATAGTGATCTGAGATTGATTGGCTATGCCTCGATCCAGACAGTAGGGGGCGATCACGGGCTTTTCCTCATTCTAGATAAAGCCATCTATGGGGAAACTGCACTGGTGTTTACAGTGGTCTTTTACTCCCTCTATTCAGGGGGTAATAAATATTATCCATGATACTGTACTCACCTCAGTTCAGGTGAAGACTCTCCCTGTTTGAAGTGTATGGGTTTCTCCATTGAAGCATCACTCTTCATAGACACACAGCTGGGCTCAGGAGAGTCTGGTCTCTTACTGTGAACCAGACTAAAACACATTCAACCATCTGTTAAGAGCTGCAGTCTTTAATGCGTCTCCCACCATCACACAATGACTTCATCTCTTATTACACTCAGTAATTTCTCTAAACACTCTTATTATTAATTAGTATTAGCCCCAATCCCATTTCATCCTTTGCCCCTACCACTTAGCCCTACCTCTCCGTTTTACGCATTCACACCTAGGGGTACGGTGTCCAGATTTTTGTCAAGATAGAGGGGGAGGGTGAAGTGTTGGGGCTACATGGCCCTCCAAACTGAGGTTTTCAGAGACTCCAAACGGAGTATTATCAGAAAAAAAGAAAAAATGGCAAGATGGCTGCGCGAGTGACCAAAGAAACCCACAAATGTAATATTTTCTCTGTTAAAAATTATGATAACCATTGTATTGTCTTAGTTTAATGTCATTTCAATGTATTATGGTCCTTTCTTTTCTTCATAAGAACCATAAAAAATTGCTAGTAGTATGTTTATGTCTCAGTAGCTGAATTTCCTGTTCCACATTAAATTTCCTGTTCCCTCCCCTAATTCTTCAGTGATCTGAAGCTGAAGTCAGATATTCACCAGTTTCTTGTTCTAGTTCCCCCGTTCCACCTTAAAGGGTGCAGCAGTTGCATTCTGGTGCCTCAGGCTTCAAAACTGCTGCACCTTTTTAAGGTGGAACGGGAGAACTAGAACAAGAAACTGGTGAATATCTGACTTCAGCTTCAGATCACTGAAGAATTAGGGGAGGGCAATAATAAATACAGACCAGCAGTGAGGGGCTGAACTTTACCCTCCTCTGCTGTCATTGCAGACTGGCAGGGTCGCCTACAGAGCAGCGCTAGTAGCTGTTGAAGTAATTATTTGTTTTATTTGAGGGTCCCATTTCAGAGGGAAAGATTTTAACCACTACAACTTGTAACTCAGTTCCAAGGGACAAGGAGACCCTCGAAAACAAGTGGTAGGGGTAAAAATAAGAAACTGGACTGTGCCTTAATCAAAGTAAGTGCTTAACCTCCAGAAAATGTTATGTTTCCCACATCAAGCTGTCAAATTAGGTACTACATAAGCTGTTTCCCCCATAAATGAAAGGGTTGAAGTGGATAACAGGGTTGAACACAGAGATCATATTCCCCACTAAGCTGATATTAATGCAATAAAGACACATATAAAGTAAGCTGAAAATTGTTTTAATCAAAATGTTTTCATTGAAATATTTGTTTCAAGCCATTTTCACTTCATTTAAACTATTTGAAGAATAAAATTAGGGAAAAAAGCTTTCAGGAGTGGTTAGGTTGACTAGGTGCACATGCTGCATGCTAACCAAGAACTGTCTTTTTTAAGAACGTTGAAGAACTGTAAGAGTGTAGAAGATTTCAAAATTTCATTGTCTTAAATAACGATTTCTATATAAAAACGATTAATCTTTCAGCCCTACTTGTTGGTAACATGACTATCAGCTAATATATCTCAGGATAGTCTGCTTGCTTTCAGAAACCAAGCTAAAAGATTGATTTATTCTACTTTATACATTATGATGACACACCATTTCATTTTTATTCAGAGATACATTTCTTTTATGATCTTTTATGAATGATCTTTAGTCATTGGATCCCCCTCCCATTCCCACCCATCAACACAAAGCACGCTGTAGAATCGACGGTGGAGTTCATTCAGGGTTTGTTAGCATTGATAAACACTGTCATGACTTCAATTTCTAGCAATGAGGTGGACAGTTTATTACCAGTATCTCCTTTCTATTTGGATATATTTCATTGTCATTTCTTTTATTCCTGTAATCAAAGTGTTCTCTAAATACTTCTTTGTTTAACAGTGGCATGTGGCCAGAGCGAGCACCAACTGCCCGTGTCTTTTTTGTCAGGAGGAACGTTGCCTATTTTGCGTCCCACCTTTTCCTTTTTGAGGAGCACTTCCAGTGTTCTGCATATTGTCCAGGTTATCAGTACTAATAAGAAAAGAAATAAACCAACTAATGTACCTTTAATGCATTCATTAATAGTTTTTACAGCACTCCCACTCCTGAACACAAACATAATTTCACAGTTTAGAATAAGTTTAAATATGCCTTGGCATGGATTCTACAAGTCTCTGGGACGGCACTGGATGGACAGAATATGGTTCTTCTAAAAGATATTCCCTTGGTTGGACCCAAAATCTCCCATAGGTGCTCAACTGGGTTGAGATCTGAGGCTGTGAAGGCCACAACATACCCTATACACCTAAATGAAGATGTCACATTTGTCTCTGTTTCTAGTGAAACATTAGCAAGTCCAGTGTTTTTTTGTGACTGAAGCCATTAATGTCCATTAGTGCCCCAATAATGAACCCTTTTTTAAAGTTACTTAGATCTTTTTCTCTAGTTATCTTGATCTGAAATCAAGGTCAGCTGGGCTGCTTAGTGTTTTTATACATGCCACAGAGCATAGCAGGATATTAATTGCTTAATTGTATCATGTAGCACACCCGTCTGAAAACATCTGCACTCATATCGCTTCTCTACTCATTCAATCTGTTTTTTATTTTTCTTTAAATTTGTCACCTGTTCATATCTAATTCAGCTCAGAAAGAACAATAAGTTGATTTGATCAGGAAGAACCAAGACAAAAAAATTACATTTGGCTGAAACCTGTCCTACTGACACAGTAGTCACTAATGTAGTGGACACCATCTGGGTTCAGCTTACAAACTGGAGTCCACACTTAGAGACAGAATTGGAGAAGACTGTTGCACAGCCAACAATCAATTTCTTCACTTTACTCTTTACAAAATTGAGGTGGTTCGTAGTTATGGTCATGCAGCCTCAAAATGTGAGCGTACCCAGAACTGTCACACTGCTGAGTCTAAAAAGTCCAGCAGGTCCCAAGAACTTCGGAACTTCACCCGCAGTGCTACCAAAGGACCTGCTGCCTCACCCACTCACACAACAGCTGTCGCTGGCAGACCCACCACCTGGGAGGTGGTGAAACTCTCCTCCTTTAGCCGCCACAAAATACAAGCCGCCTGGTCACTGACTGAGGCTGCTTTGAACATCGGCCTCCCCCAGTGCTGCAGCAAAGCTGCTCCAGACGAAGCAGAGTAACCCCACGGTGCCAGAGTGTCCGAGGACCCATGCTACACTACCGAAGCAGGTCCAGTTCATTTTCTCGATGCAAAGGCTATGTTCACATATCTGATTTTTTGCCCTAATGTGACTCAGATCTGATGTTTTCAGGACTGTGTGGACACGCAAATCTGACCTTTTCAAATCCGACCTGAGTCACTTTCATATGTGGTCCTAGATTGGATACGTATCCGATTCGTGGCCATGCGACCTTAATGTGATGCTCAGATTGGAATTCATCTGCTTTTTTCCACTGCACGTGCACCATCATTCAGCGTTACCATGGTAATAGTGCCAGTTAAAGCCTGTAAACGGTGGAAAAGCAACACATCTCACCTTTTTCTCCTTCGTCTCGCTCTAATAATGAAGCTGAGAGCTGATCGGGTTAATTATCTTCACAGTGAAGCTCGTTCTGCTCGTTAGTGATTCATTCATGTGACGCTACTGAGTAGGATGTGCGCATGCGGGTCATTTCAGGACGCTGGTTCGTTCACATTAATGACAGATTTGAATCATGTATTTTACACACATACAAAAACCTTAAGTCAGATTTATGCCATTCAGCGGTTGATTACATTACTTGAGTTCTGTAAGCTTCTCCTTTACATTCAACTACATTATTAAAAGTAATTTGAACCTTTTTAATTGATATTTAGCTCAATAAATTGCTCTTTTATTAAGGCATCCTTTGTGTGAGCATGAGAGAAGACTTGGGGACTCTCACTTCAAAGTAAAAATAAAATAATTCAAATGCTTATTTCCTCTACAACTAATGTCAGTCAAATATCATGAGCAATTTCTCCCACCACTGAGATACTCTATTCACTTTTCCAAGATTTACATCCAGCTGCAGGAGAGCATCATATTGTTGAGGTCAGTGTAAGAAAATTTATGCTTTATGCAAAAACTCACCTGCCAAGTTTTTCAGAGACACTCGTTTTGGAGGTCAAGCTTCCCCCTAAAAATAAAAAAAAAATGAAACATTCCTTATAATTATGTCACTTGCATCTCCAGTAGGAGCTAAAGAAAGATTAAACATACGAGAAAAGAGAAGCTGATTGGTTAATTTTTACACAAATAAAGAATGCAGAAAGAACACAGGTGTTACTCATTATAATACATTCTGCTTTGTAAAATAAAACAAGAAACAAATTTAACATTGTTTTAGGTATCAGGGCTGGAATATACAGGGCACTTTAATAGGGAATGTGAATCAAATGTACAACCAAATATTTTATAACATTCACCCAAGTACTTTTGTTTGTGATTTTGTTAATGTATTAACATATTACTCATTAACTTTTTGTATAGTGAGTCCACAGACTACTGATAATTTCACAATGCAAACAAAAATTAGATGATGTTGGATATTGTGATGAGAATGAAAGTAACGTGTACGAATTCACTGCATCCTTGACTGGATGTACAACATATACAGATCCTGAAAATGAAGCGTTTTTGCTGTATAATGAAGCCAATATAATTCAGACCAACACAGTCGGTTTTAATTTATTTTTTTGGCACTTGAGCTACGTTAAAAAGTTCTGATTTGATTTTTCAATTCAATTCAACATTTATAGCACTTTTTACAACGGACATCGTCACGAAGAAGCTTTGCAGAAATCCAGGCATGAGATCATGAAGAAGAACCACTGAGAGGAACAAAGACTCAAAAGTAAAGACTCCATAAGATCATGAGGAAGAACTACTTCTCACTGATATTAAAACGAATTACTCCAGATACAGCAAAGCAGTCTCTATAAAGGGTAAGTACTACCAATTGTGGTTCCTAAGTCAAAAAACCAAAAAGAAAAAAGTGCAAAAACGTCTGCTACGTACATTCAGCTGTTCAAAAAGTTAACGAAAAACTATTTCCAACTTTTATCATATCTCCATGTGTTTACTGTGGAAACTCATATCACTGTGGTGATAAAAATAGGATATATTTAGAAATGGGACAGATCCAATCCTATATCGGTCTCGGGTCCAATATTGACATCAGTTCACTCATCGGATATCAGACAGAGAGGGCCAATCCACTTATTGATCCATGTTCCAGTCTTTGCACTGGACCATGAACCTGCCGTAATGTAACATAACATAACATGACATAACAGACACGTCACCGATCCAGATTCCATTACACATCTTACCATGAACCCACGGCAACTTCAGTCTGTAACTGAATGAGCAAATCACAGCTGCTGGTTTGACTAAAATGTCGTTTGTTTGATGATATTTTAGTCCAGAAACACTTGTAGTACTTGTAAAGTGTGTAAGGCCAGCGTGCCGAGGGGTGAAAGTATGACTGCTTCGTACAATATAACCAGTTTAATCACCTGCAGAGGTTTCATGTGAAAGAATACCAGGAGCTCATGCTAAGAGACAGGAAGATGCCACCCGGCAGCAAGTCTCGCTGATGCTTTCCAGAAATGCGATAAACGTCCAGTACACAATCCAAAGGCTAAAGGGGTCACCGAGAAGCTGCTCAACTTCATTATACTCCATGACTAACCGCTATCTGTAGTGGAAAATATCGGATTTCACAGCCTGTTGGAGAACTTAGAGCCCAGGTATAATCTGTATTCCTGAAAATACATTTCAGAGATTCAGAGACGTCGACACCCGAACTGTACAACCAAGTGTCATCACAGTTAGCGGCGCAGTTAGACAGATGTTAAAGCCATGAGCTTCACAACTGATATTTGGAGCTCAGATGTTCCAGTGTCTCTCATAAGACCCACTGCACACTGGGTGAACTCATACTGTATGCACTACAGAGTGCGGTGTGTCAGGAGGAAAAGCGCACAGGGTCTCACACCAGCAGTTCAGGTGCAGCCTCCATTACAGAAATACTTAGTGATTGGAAGATTAAACACCTTAAATAAAACATAAAACACAATACCAACAATAACAATGATAATATTAAAGTAAAAAGAGCTCTTGTGTCAGAATCTGTATCGGTATCAGCAGTTGTGTATTTGAATTGGATCAGCCCATCACTAGATATATTGCTTTATGATCTATTGATATAGTCTAATCTATTGGTCCATGCTTTGTCTTCCATCTGTAACCTACTCTGCCTAACTATGATCACTTTTTAAGCACTTTTAAAATCATTAGGCTATTAAGCTTCATCAAATAACTTGTCGTTTACTTACCACCTAAATGTTGATGCTTCAGTCTTATTTCAAGATCTTCCATCTCGTCCTCTGTGTTGGTGTACCATCTACCACCATTGGCTGCTACTAGTTTGTCTATCTTTGCTATAAGTTCCTCTTGGTCCTTTTTACCAGGGTTTTCACTGAAGGAGTGGTACCTACTGCCACACTTCTGAACCAGCTGCTGAAGACTGTCCCCAGCAGTCCTGATATACTCCTCAATGGAGGTATTATTTTCTTTAAAAGTGAAGAGGATAATGGTGAACATGTAGAGCTTCTTCCCAAACACTTCTTTCACTCTCTCTACAGTGTCTCTCTCCTCCTGGGTGAATCGGCCCAGGGGGATCACCAGAAGAAAGACATGAGGCCCTGGGTCTGAGAGCTGGAGGCACTGGAGCAGTTTCTTCTTAGCTGTGTTTGAGTCCATTTCTGCAGTCAGTCCTGGAGTGTCCACCACCATGATCCGCTTTCCTCCCAAGGTCACAGTCTGAGCCTCGCACTGCTGGGTGACTGCAGAGCCACTGAGCTCAGACACAAAGCATGAAGAGCCAAGCAGTGTGTTGCCCGATTCACTCTTGCCTGCACCTACTTTCCCAAGTAGGACCACCCGAAGGTCCTGCTCTCCTAGTGAGAAGACAACAAAAGAAAAAGGAGAAATAATAATGAGAGTGGAACCTTTAACAGGAGAAGGAAAAAACATTCTCTACTTTAAATGGAAGCTAATGGAGTTAATTATTAATGTAAACTCTTCTTGGACCATTTCTAAATGAGAGATACAAGGAGATACTGGGTTTTGTCCCAACAGCTATGATATAGACAGACAGACAGACAGATAGATATTCAACTCAATTTTTCACATCTCTTCACAATTTCATGTTGCCATAGGTCTCTTTTGGCAAGTCAAGTAGAGCACTGACTTTGTTCACTTCAGTGCTCATTAAAAACAATTCTAACATTCTTTTAGAGACAGATTTATTTCAGCTTTAATTCATTACATTAGATTTCCAGTGTGTCAAAATTTTACTTACACCATGTTAACAGTCTGGAATATTCCAGAAATTGATGTAATGACTTTTAGAAGCTTCTGCCAGTCATCATAATTAGGAGTGCATTGGGTGTACACCTGTGGCTATATCTAAGTGCCTCACGTACCTTGCACTTTCTACTATGGGAAAATCCAAGCAACCCAACCGAGATGTCAGAAAAAAAAACTGTGGACATCCACAAGTCCAGCTCCTCCTAGAGCAATTTCCAAATAACTGAAGGTACCATAAGCATGTATACAAACAATTGTCAGCAAAAATAAAAACTCATATAGTAGGGAGGCAAAAATTAACTCCCAGAGATGAACGCACTTTGGTCTGAATGGTTCAACCAAACTGCAAAGCGACAAAGGAACTGGAGGCATCAGGTACCAAAGTATTTTCAGAATTTCACAGCCTGAAACGAAGAAAAAGGAAGGTTCCTCCCCCAAGACCGGCATAAAAAATTCCTTCTGGAGGAGAGTTCTCTGGTCAGATGAAACAAATAAAAAGAACTGTTTGGCCATAATTATCAGCACTGTATGAAGGAAAAAGGGGGAAGCTTTAAATCCCATCCCAATTGTGAATCATTGGAATGGCAACATCATGTTGCAGAGGTGTTTTGCTGGAAATGAGGTTTGTGTGCTTCAGAAAATAGAGGGCATCAAGAAGGAGAAGGATTATCTACAAATACTGAAGTAATATATCAAGACATCAGCCAGAATACTAAACTTCACACAGCTGGTTCTTCTATAATCCTAAGCCATCACAAAGCCCTGACCACAATCCCATTTGAAATTTTGTTGACTGTACTGAAAAGTGTGTCTGAGCAAAAAGGCAAATGGGCAAAAACTCTGGCAAAGCATTGAGAGAAGCCTGTGGAAGGCTATCCCTGATAAATATCAAGCAATTAAAAGGTAATCCCACCAAACACTAATGAACTTTATGTAAACACATATAAAATCCACTAAAAATCTGATATAGTAAGTAAAACCTGAATTAAATTTGTCTCCTCACTATTAATTTGAAATCACCTCTTAATGAAGATACAGTACAGACCTTAATTGACTTAACAACGGAAATGTAGGGTAGCAAGAAATGTCTGGCATTGTGAAAAACTGAGTTTGAATGTCTTTAGCTATATGAGAAGAATATGTTACTGAATACATTTAGGACAGTGTGTTCAGTATTCAGCCATCATTTTTTCAAAGTACTCAGTCCAACACTGACCACCGGTAAGGTAATTATACATGCTTTATAAGATGCCCTAATGCTTTTTCAAGCAATTGATGCAGGACACTGCAGAGTCTGAAATCACAGTTGGTAACTGTATGTTCTCTGTTGTCTGCAGAAACCCAAAGGACTGAGAAATTAGAGCGCAAGTATGTAATATTTATTAGTGATACAGTTTGAATTTATTACAAGTTATCTGAGATTGTTTATTTTTATGAAGTTATTGAGCTACTACAGAGTATCTATATTTTATCATTTTGAAGCAATGTATTTTATGACCACTGTTAAAACACAAGTCATTGCTGTTAAAATGTATAGCAACACTTAATAGTTGTAATTATTTTTCCCCTTTTTCCTCATTTGAATTATGCTTTTTTCATCAAAACGTTGCTGAACTTAAACAGTCTTTCAGGTTTTTTTCTGGGTTGGCTGGGTCTATGTTTTATACACTCATCGTCAAAAAAATAGTTGCACCCAGAAGTAAGAGTCGGATTGCAGTGCTATTCGGAAGGAAGATAAAGGTTATCAGGAACGATACATGTTTAAAGCTTTAGACTGATATGGGCAATATTTATTGAGCTACACATATAGAAGTAGTGTGTCTCGGTTTGGCGTCAGGCCACCATGTTTGCTAACACAACATGACAGATGAGACCACGCCTTCTAGATGTGTGACACGTGACAACAAACCATTCATATAGGCACTGACGGTCCCTCCACACGTCTTCTCCACCAAGACAAAAGCAGGACTTGTCACTGAAGATGACCTGCTGCCATTCTAAGACCACTCCATGACAGTTGGGCACGACACCATTGCAGTCTTTGGTGACGTTGACGTGGTGTTAAGGGCAGTCGTCGTTACGGTCTGTGGTAAACCCATGTCGAGCGTCTGTCTGCCAATGGTGCTGGCACTAACAGGATGACTCACGGAGGGCATCACTGCTCACTCAATGTCCGCAATCGTGGCTGTTGGGTCATTCTGTGCATGTTGGACACTCCATTGGTTCTCCCTCTCCATGGTTCGTGTAGGTCTCCCAGATCCTTCATGTCGCTGGTGCGTGCCTTCTTCTATCCACTGCCGCCAACAGTAGCCATGTTTACATGCAGCCTGATAATCCGTTAATAATCCGACTAATAGCTAAATCGGAATAGAATACGTCCATGTAAACACCTCAATCGGAATAGTCTAGTCCGATTGAGGCCATTCGGAATACAATTTCTATCCGATTGAACGAGGTGGGTAAACCTCCAAATAATCCGTTAAATAGAAGAATAATAGCCATGTAAACGCCTGAATCCGATTACATCCCAATCAGAATGTGTAAGTATGTTCTGCGCATGTGCGTCGCGTCATGGCGAAAGTTTATAATGTTCAACATGGCGGAGCAGAAACTGGTCTGCAGAGGAGACGAAGTTCATGCTCTGATCTTTAAAAGACGGCGGTGGGACGACCAGCTTATGTGTCTCAGAACATGAAGTCTTCCTCTCGCCGCTTCCTTTATAAGTACACGTGAAGCACGTTTTTCTGAGTCTGACATCATTTTAAAGCAATTAATAACACAAGCGCGCCAACTGGAAACTCATCTCACGCGGACTGGACTTCACGTGATGTTCGCTGTCATGGTAACGTTTACTCTAAGCGCTACTCCACGCATGCGCGTCATTTCGCATAGGATTACTTCTAGTGAGCATGTAAACGAAGATTTTCCATCAAATTGTTGAATAGAGTGCATATAAACACCTCAGTCTGAATCTGTAATCCGATTGTATTCAATCGGATTGGCAAAAATCTTTGCATGTAAACACAGCCAGTGTGTTATGGTAATATGCGCATGACCGATATGACATGCAATATATAAGACCATCCCGCTTCCCGGAGGCCTACGATGTGACCCCTCTCGAACTCTTCTAACTGCTCGAATTGAACTCTTCTCCGAGGCATACTTCGCTTGCAAACGATGCTACTAACACATCAGCACAAGTCCGAATAGAAAGCACGCTCAAAAGGACGACCTTATATAGCCAGTCAGCTACAGCGATAAGGCCCATCCTTGCTTACATCACATGCACGGCCACGCGTGAAACCTAAATTATTCCCATGTCTCACAATGTCAAACCTACCCACCAACTTTCATTCCTGTTGGTTGATTCCTTCAGGGTGCAACTATTTTTTGACAATGAGTGTATCTCATTTGTTAATAGTGTGGACATCTAGGAACATCTACATGGAGGATTTTTACACCTTTTTTTTCATGCTGAACCTGTTTTGCTCTTCTGTGCACAACTGATGCACATAAATAACACATTCAGTAAAATATAATGAAGCTTAGCCTTACAGAGACACAGTAGCTAGAACCTCCATTGACAAATATCTATCTAAAAAAATCTACAAATAAGTGAATACATAAATAACAAAACAATAGTGTTTAGTAGACCAACACAATATTAGTGTATTAAGAACAACAAAATGTTAAAAATCTGTTCCCCAGTTTTAATGTCCATTATTCATTTAATATTTATTTTTATTCAATAGTCTTAAAAAGATGTAGCTCATGAGCTTATCAATTACTACAATTAATCACTTAAGCCAACTGACTGGGCTTATTCAGAATTAACAGAAGTGATTTAGAATTTCTCTGCTGAAAAAGGACCATTAGAAACCATTACGATTAAAGCATAGTGTGTTTACTTTCTAATAGGAATTGGCTTAATGGTTATCAATAAAGACCACCAGTTTCCTGTAGAAGACCTTTAGGAAATCATTAAATGCATTTAGAATCAGCCATTGGCCACCTGTTAAACCACTAGAGTTCTTTACACTGTGATTTCAACCCATTAAAAAAAAAAGCCAAAATACATTACAAAACCATCAGGGACAAACAGAAACACTTAATGGTTTCTATGTTTTGATTTTTTTTAAATTTACTTTATTATTTAAAAAAATAAATAAATCACAAGAAATTGTTTGATCATGTTAAAAGAAAAAAGATACAGATAGATAATAGTAAAAACTGTTCAAAGTCCCCATTAAAATTAGGTTTTTGTAGATGTAGAAGAGCAGCTTTGCCCCTAATCTCCCTAACAGTCACAAAAACATTCACATTTTCTGTTTCACATTTTCTTCACACTTCAACAAAACTGACAAATACTGATCTAACCATCAGCGCAGACAGAGCCCCGGAGCTGATCTGATCTGCTTCGGTTCGACATGTGTTCAGTAACGTTTCCATTACAATACACTCAGAGTACATTTACAATACATATTAACAAAAAAAATGGAGAAAACTGAATTTAAATGAACTCCACTTAATTAATTCACACTGTTCTCATCTCCTGCTTCCGTCCACTGCTGCTGTAATCCTAACGCCGTCTCATGAACTAAGCAAACAATTTACTGAATACAGTCTTTACCGTCTCAGCACTGAAGGCTACTTACTGTCCGAGTGGGCCATCGCTGTAGACTGCAGGGTTAAACCTGTAGATGACGTTGCTCTTCTGATAAACTCATTCCTTTAGTTTCTCTCTGGAGAATTATCGGCGCGTTAAAACCATTTTGCTGTAAAATAAATTCAAATAAAACTATTCGCTACACGAGCTACTCGAAGACGGAGCTCTGAGGAAGCCGAGAGACACAGACTACATCCGGGTAACCGGAGTCTGCGCACAGACAAAACCGAAACTAACAGCAAACCGGAAACAGCCTCCATTATTCAGCTTCCTGTTCACTCGAAATGGCTGCGAACAGTGAAGGCAGCGAACTGGGTGAGTGATCATGTTCAGATTTGTGCTCTTTATCAGGTTATATATCGAGACACACCGTTTCAAAGTTTTAGTGTTATTTAATCCATTAGTTTAATCCATGAGAGAGACGACCACAACTCGGCTTTCCGCCAGATCCACCAGCAACCCAGCTTTACTTTCGATTTCAAATCTGTTCTTGTTTTTTGTTTGTTTTTTTTTTATGAAAATTAAAACTTTAAGGTTCGCCCTTCTTCACAAAGCGGAGTAACACGAACAACACTGACTGCTATTTTATCGTCGTTTCATTGAGTTATTACCCTGCTAGATAAAAAAAAAAAAACACCATTAAATGTTTAAATATTAATATTACATAACCATCAGGGACCAGGAGAAACATGTGTGTTTTGGGTTTTGGTATAACACTGTAAATCCTGATGGTTAAACAGGTGATCTGTGACTGATTATAGTCGCAAGACGCATTTGATGGTTTCCTAATGGGATCTAAAGCTATTGTCCTGAACACTAGCGGCCTCTAATGGAAGCCATTAAGGCTACTGGTCTGTTTTTAGGGTAATGTTATTGTGTCAAAGCACTGAACACACTGTCCTACATGTGTTCAGTAACGTTTCCATTACAATACATACAGAGCACATGTACAATGCATATTAACAAAAAAACTGGGGAAAACTGAATTTAAATGAACTCCACTTAATTAATTCACACTGTTCTCATCTCCTGCTTCCATCCGCTGCTGCTGTAATCCTAACGCCGTCTCATGAACTCATGAAGCAAACAGTTTACCGAATACCGATAACAATATCTTGCAAATTTGACTACAGGTTGGTTTTCAGTTAATGGCATGTATATATCTTACTCAGGCTTCAGCAGGAGCTCCAGTGTTTGTAAACAAGCTGTTTATTTAGTTCTTCTAGTTCATGAACAAGTGTTTCTTGTAAAGTTGATAAAGTTGATTCTTAAATTTGGTGGGGACTTATTCTTAAAGTGTTCTACTAAATATTTAAAAGGTAACTGCTGCCTTTAAAAAATGTAACTTGGACTGAATGGAGATACTTAATTTCTGTATTCTGAATGTTTGCCTTCCATTACATCCTAACACTGTTTGTTTTCTTGCTGCAGCGTGTACAGCTGACAAAGAGCCAGCAGAGACCAGAAGCATGGATCAACCTCTCAGGTGTAAGTTCCCAACTGGACAAATAAAGTACTTTTAATAAAAACAAGTATGAATGAATAAAAACTAAAACTAATATTTGAGATTCATTTATCCATAAGCTACTTTAGGAACAGTTATTAGTAAATAGATCTGTATATGTCAGACCTTTACATTTCCAAATTTGTGCACAGCATTCCTACAACATCCTCCACCACTTTCCCCAGTCAGGACATGACTGATAAACATGATCGAAGAGCCTCTTTACTGCATATATGAGCTTTATTTGCATTGAACAGAATTGGCACCTCACTCATACTGCAGTTGTTAGGCTTCAGTGAATGGCCTGAATTTGTGATCCCTCCAAAATTTCAGTTGCTGTTGGAGGAGCCGTCACTAATTTGCAACACACTAATATGAAGCAGCACTGGACCAAGTGAACCACAAATAAACAGAAATCTGCTACAATTTTAAGCATGAACTGACTTGAATGCAACAAAATATGCAAATCCAAAAGCACCACATGGCACTGTTTTTTTGCTTTTTCCCCCAACATTATAACCATCTAGGTGCAGCATACATATAGGGTTACAGTTGTATAGAAAAGTATAAAATGAAAGAATTTGTGTCAAGATGAATTTGTTGTACTACTAGTACTACTATTATTACTATTACTGCTACTACTACTACTTCTACTACTACTACGACTACTTCTACTACTATTAATAATAATCCTTGATTGTATAGCACCTTCACAATGCAAAGTAAAAACAAAGAAAAATAAAATAGATCATAAAAATGCAACAAATAAAAGCAATAAAAGAAAAAGGGATGTATTATTAATAATCAAAATTTAAAATTCAAATTCACAAGATAAAATTATAAATAATAATACAACTAACAAGAAAGTAACAGCAATATTTCAATAAAAACAAGGGAAACAATAAAAAAGTTAAACGCTGAAGTATTAAGATGCTAAACCAACAATAGTTTTAAGAACAATTACTGAAGTTTTATAGTCAATTTCAAAGGAAACAGGGAGCAAGTGCAGTGAAGGTTAAACTGGTCTAATATGATGTTGTTTTCTAGTCCTTGTTAACATTCTTGCTGCAGCATTTTGCACAAGTTGTAGTTTGTATGTTATACTTTCAGGAAGTCCTGTGAACAATGCATCACAGTAGTCAAGTCGAGAAAAAAACACAAAAGCATGGATCAATTTCTTAGCATCTTGCTAATGGAGATAAGGTCAAACTGGTGCTGTAATATCCTTAAATAATAAAAGAAGTTCTGGTAATGTTATTAATATGTGGTTTAAAAGGTAAATCAGAGTCTATAGTTACACCAAAGTTCTTAACTTCAGTTTTTATTTGTACAGCCAGATTTCCAAGTCTTTCATACACCTTTTTCCTCTTTGCTTCACTACTTATTATAATTATTTCCGTCTTGTCTTGATTAAGTTTTAGAAAATTGCTGTTCATCCAGCTAACAATGCTGGACAGACATATGAGCTTCTCTACTGTAGTAACATCATCTGGTGCTGCAGACATGTACAGTTCATCAGTGTACCATCTGCACAACTATAAAAATCGACGCCATGCTTCTTAATAATCTGACCCGGTGGTGACAAAGAAAATAGGAGTGGACCAAGTACAGAGCCTTGTGGTACACCACAGAGAATATCATGCTTACTTGAGATATGTTCACCTATGCTTACAAAATACTGCCTTCCAGGTAAATATGTGGTTTAACACAGTTCCAGAGATACCAGCTAAGTTCTCAAACCGATTTAGGAGTATTTTATGATCTACAAATACAGCACTTAAATCCAAGCATAAGTACAGAGACATCACCTGTATCAGCATTTATTCTCAGAACAAATGTTTTAAGTGTGTCTGGAAAAGTGCCTGACACACTTGGACCAAGGCTTTAAAGTACTTCTGTAAAAAAAAAAATGCTGCAATAGGATCTAAAACACAGGTGGAGGAATGTAGTCGCAAGACAACTTTTCAAAGTTCTTTTTCATTAATCTTTTTTTAAAACTATTCATAGTGTTTTGGTGTTGAATAAAAATAGAATCTACTGTTGGTAATTTCGAAGTTATAAAACATGACCAGGTATATTTTTACATGATAAAATAATGCAAAATCATTACATTTTAATGTTGAAGCCTCAGTAATTTAATCAGTGAGGCTTTAACACCAAAACATGAGGCTTGTTCTAAATCTAAATATAATTCTTAATTTTTTTTTTGTTGTGAATATTTGGTTTAGTTTCTTCCATTTCTGTTCTGCTTTGTGGCATATGGAAATAGAATTTTTATAAAAAGTGAAAAATCATTTGGATTAAACAAAGTCTTGGTCCTCGATTAGTGTTGTTCCTTAACATTTCTATGTTTTCTGTTTTAAGTCTCTGAACTAAGGATAGTGCTGGTGGGGAAGACTGGTGTGGGGAAGAGCTCTACTGGAAACACCATCTTCGGTCATGAGGTCTTCCACGTGTCCAGTTCAGCTCAGTCAGTAACCAAGGAATGTCAGAAGGCCAGAGCAGAGGTTGATGGCTGTAAAGTGTCTGTGGTCGACACTCCTGGTTTATTTGACACTGACCTGACAGAAACAGCAGTAATTAACAGAGTGGTTGAATGTATCACTCTGTCCTGTCCTGGACCACATGTCTTCCTCCTGGTGCTCAGACTGCGTCACTTCACCAAAGAAGAGAGTGAGACGGTGAAGAGACTGCAGTGGATCTTTGGTGATGAGGCATCCAAATACACCATCATTCTCTTCACTGAGGGGGACAGACTGAAAACCAAGACCATAGAGGAGTATTTGGCTACAGCAGAAAAGGAGCTGAGTCAAGTGGTGGAGACGTGTGGTGGACGCTATCATGTCTTTAATAACAAGAACATGGAACACCGCACTCAGGTCACTGGACTGATGGATAAGATCTTTAAAATGGTGTCAGAAAATAATGATGGATGCTACACCAATGAGATGTATAAAAATGTGGAAAGAGCGATTCAGGAAAGAGAGGAATTGCTGAAGAGCGAGATGGACGAGAGAGAGGAAGAGTTGAGAAATGAGATGCATGAAAGAGAGGAAGAGCTGAGAAATGAGATGCATGAGAACATGGAAAGAGCAATTCAGGAGAGAGAGGAAAAGCTGAGAAATGAGATGAAAAAACTGGCTATGGCGAAAAACACAGAAATAGACCAGTTGAGCTCGAAGCTTACAGAAAAAGTTGTGAAGGATGTGAAAAAAAAGAAAAAATTTTCAGAGTTTATAAAAGTCGCAGAGCAGTGTAAACAGCAGTGATAGTGCTTCTTCCTCGATTTGAGGCCTAAATTTGTTGTGTACGTTAAATGTTGTGCGAGTATGTATGTATATATGTATATGTATAATCACAGTTGGAACAAAACCTTGTGTCTTGTATTTTGTTGTTGTTCATTTTGTCTTACATAATATGAAAACTTCAGCTGCTCTTTACATTGTGTTAAAGTTAACGATGAATGGACCAACAGAAATGGCTCAAAATTACTTAGAAAAATCCTGTTACTTTAACTTCAATTCCACAATTCCAATCAAATTTCATTCTCATGAAAAGTTAAAATATGAAGTTTTGTTCCAAAAGCAACGCTATGTATATAAGCAATTTGTATGCGGGAAGTATGCATAATGATCCATAGCTTTGTAAATCTATTTTAAGTTCATTTAAATGCAAAAATGTACATACAGTACCTGTATATATTAATAATGGTGTATATGAATAAAAAATCCTGTTGCCAAGGCAGTAATGTTGTCATTGTAGTTTATTTTATTTTTTTTTTTTCTTTATTTATTGTATTATTTATTTTATTAGTTTATCTAGAGTTTCTGAAGTGAAGTGGTTAGTTCAGTTTCTACTGTAATCGATCACAGCCGGTCACCTTATCTAGACTTTCTGAAGACAGTGGTTAGTTCAGTTTCTACTGTAATCGATCACAGCCAGTCACCTTATCTAGACTTTCTGAAGACAGTGATTAGTTCAGTTTCTACTGTAATCGATCACAGCCAGTCACCTTATCTAGACTTTCTGAAGACAGTGATTAGTTCAGTTTCTACTGTAATCGATCACAGCCAGTCACCTTATCTAGACTTTCTGAAGACAGTGATTAGTTGGATCAGGTCTGGTGGTTTCGAGTTGGAACTAAACTCTGCAGGATGATGAACTCTGGGATGAAGGATGCAGCACAGAAGAAATGGAAATAGCAGTTTAACATTGAACACCAGGTGGAGTTCTTACCTTCTTTTTATTTCTATGTTGCTCAGTCTAAATCTCATCATATTACTAGTGTATCAAATTGAGAGAGAACTTAAAACACTTGTTTGTGACACCTGTTTTATCTTGTATTTAGGGTAACTTCCAAAAGCAAAGTAGTCCCAAGTAGCCCCTCTTTTCACAGAAAGTCCACTTCATACTCAGCTGTCACTGTGTCTTAAGATGTCTTAAGATGTCTTGACAGTATTTATAAGATGTCTTGAGACATTTTTTTATGCCAAGACGTCTCAAGAACGTATTAAGACGTATGAGTGAAGACACTGTCTTTGTCTTGAGACATGAAAGTTAACGTCTTAAGACAAAGAAGTATTTATTTTGTGTGTCTTGAAGACAAGGCATGACTTAAGACATCACTTTGTCTTAAGACATAGAGAGGTTGTGTCTTAAGAAAGATCAGTTGAGACCAAAGAGTGGTCCATTACAAAAGGTCCTGTGGTATGAGTGTGGTATTCCTGTGGTACTGCCAAACTGAAAATTACTACTGAGGATTACCAGGATTACCACAGCACTGCCTAATGTACAATATAATGAGAATATAAATATATAAGACAGAATATAAGTATGTCCTCAAGAAACAGCCTGCTGTAATCTTATGTTTTTTGTGTGATATTACTAAAAGAACATTCACTAAGGTTTTACTTGCTGTACTTTTGTGATTCTTTTTTTTTTTGCATGTTTTGTTTTTTGATTATTGCAGAAATGTGTTTACAGTGGCAAAATAGCAAAAGAAAAAATCAATTCTTAAACCATTTACCTTACCTTAAAATGTTTAAACTCATTTCCTTATATCATTGAAGTTCATGGTAGAATAACTTTTAATTTGTAACATTTACCAAAGGAGATAATCACAGTCAGTCACAGCCTTTTGCTCATTTGCAGAAAACATGCTATGATTAAAACAACATTGATCTATTTTCAAATGTACAACTGTAACCAGAGACAACAAGCTAGGAACCAAGATAAAACAACTTTGAACTGATAGGAAGTAAATGTACTTAACAGCTAACCTGAGTACTTTAGAGATCACATACCACCAAAACTTAATGCAAAAAAAGCACTTGGTTCACTCTCTTCAACATCTACACTTTTGTTTATTCTCTTAAGCAGATCAGGGCTGCCCAAAGTTAGACTTTTAATTTGTATAACTTTCAAAATTATTATCTCCAGTATTTGGAAAACACGAACAATAATAAACAAATGTATTTGAGTAGTAATATATAAAGACCTGTATTGTTTCACCACGTAAAATTACATAACAAACAGATTTTTGTTTAAATGTCCAACTTCATACTTTGACTTTAATATATTAAGACATGGCCTCCAGTGATGCTGTATGATAATGCTGCACAGCTGTCTTATGTATTTGAAGGGTTTGCAGTTTTCTATTCTGTGTCTAGATTAAAAAAACAAACAAACAAAAACAAAGCAGCACAGTTCATTCAGTACAGCAGAGCCGTGCGAACGAGAAAAAAAAGATCTATGGGAGGACAAACAAAAGACTGGCGGGAGTTTAGACCAATCAGAGCGCGGGACTCCGCCTCTTGGACGTTCGGTTTTGAAGCGCGAGCGCTCTCCGCCGTTCCTCCGTTTAAAGCCAAACGCGGCCGTTACAGCCGTTACAGTGAGCGGGTCTCTCAGGTCGCTACCGCGGGCAGTTTATCGAGTTTGTTTAGCGAGTGTTAAACCTGATAAGACTCTCTTACACTCCTTACTAAGACAGCGCCGCCTGCCGGGTGACGCATTCAGCTACCAGAAACGAGGAGTTTCAGCTGCGTAGCTGACTAACGATATACTGACTGGACCGAGTGGAGTGGAGACTGGTTTTACGACTGGAGTCCCGACTGCAGCGGTCAGAGTCTGCTTTTAAAAGGTGAGTGGTGACAAAATGAGATGAGCAGCCTCACTGACAGTCAGCTGGAGTAAACTTTTGTTTCTGTATTTCTGGGTTGATCTGCCGAGTGAAGACACCAGCGGTAGGTTAGCGTATGTAGTTAGCTAGCTAGCGGCTAAGCGGCGCGGCTGCGTCAGATCTCGCTTAGCACGCGCTCCAAATGAAAGACTGCCTCAGAAATAAACCTAAGACTGAACACAGTGCAGCAGGGTCAGCGCACTGAACAATACAACAATGAAACTGAACACAGTCCGTCAGTCTGTGTGGTTCAGAGAGGGTAGTAATAATTTTAATTTGCTCAGTTACATTTACTTTAGTAACGTCTTGGTGGATTTGTACTTTCTAGAGTATTTTTAAAATGTATTATCTGTGCTTTAGATTAATAATCTATGTTTTACTCGGCTACATTTATTAGTAATATATAATGACCAGTTTGTTTTGTGTTTTTCATTGTTATGCCTTACTGTTGTTGTTTTGCTGCATTTACCTCATGTGTCTGTTTTGTTTTAGATGTTTCTCATCAGAAATCATCTGAAGCTGAGCAACTGGTGAGACTCAAGTTTTAATTTTTTTAAATGAAACTATAAGAATGTCAGACAGATGTTTAGATTTTGTGGGTATTTCAAACAAATATAATTCATGAAGTATTTATGGTAATACAGAAGAGCAGAATGTTTAGGTAAAGCTGGGTTACAGTATTCAAATATCTGCGCTTTGTTCATTCAATTTATTAATATGTTATTTGCCACTACAGCTGTGTTCAAAATATCGATATGGCAGCATCACCAACACTGTGTCAATATTTATGAATTTACTTCTTCACAGTGCTTTAACGTGTAATACTGCAAGTCTCAGAGCCCTACAATTTATAGCATAAAGCATGTGGCAAACATGCTCTAATAGAGTTTAGCTCTTATTAATAAATCATTTCATGTAATAATTCTCTGTGAGAGAGATTAGAGGCATTGAACTCTTCAAACGCCTGGTTCTTGTCACTGCCACTATGAACAACTCTGACTCTGTAAGTTTTTCCACAGTGGAACATTTTGTATCAAACTATTTTTTTGCATCTTAATGATGAAATTGTGCTTAAAAATCATGTAATTCTCCTTTAACACAGCTTTTAACAGATACAGATATCAATACTAAGCTCACACCTGCCTCAATAGCAAATGATCATTTCTGTCACGTGTTGACTTTGGCATGTTAGAGGATGAAAACAATTGAATTGTGAATTATCTAATCAACTTTGTTGTTTTCAATCCTTCCAAAGGAACATTCTCTCTTTGGGCCTCATCCAGTATGGTGGCAGTCCATATCATTCTCAACACTTAGCTGTGCTCTTACACAAGTGGCCTCATCCTGATGCTTCTTTCATTACACTGAACATCATTGTCTGAACATCAGCTATGCGTGTGAGCTGGGTGCCACGCTGGAGTTCATGCATAGGTATTATTTAAAGCCCTGTCACATTTCTTTGTGTACTAAATGCCTGAGTTGATTTTAGATGAGTAAAAGTATGTATACTGTACATTATATTTTACTTATAAAGGGAATATATAATGCTTTCCCTTTTATTTACTGTGTTATGTAGCTTTTTGTGCATGTAAGATACAAAGCTGAAAGTATATGCCAGAGGGAGAAACTCTTTCCCACAGAAACCACTTTTCTCAGCTGCCTGAGGGCTGGAGTTCCCCAGCCCTTTTCCTTTGTTACAAGATGATGTAATCCCATAACACAATCCTTATTGCCCACCTACCAGCGAGCTTGGCATGCCCTCACACAACGCAACGCATCTACCGGAGCCCGTGTATTGGCGGAACCGCTCTGGTGCTTGATCAGTCAGAGCCAAGTGAGCGAGCTAACTAATCTGAGCATACTGGGCTCATCAGGAAGGAGGGGCTTAAAGACACTGGAGCTCTAACAGAGCGTTTCAGACAGAGGGTGAGTAAACAATTACAGTATGACAAAAATAATGTGTTTCTGGAACACTGAAGCATGTAAATGTATTATAGTCGTAATAAATTTATGAACATTGGAAATTAGCATAACAGGTCCCCTTTAAATTCAGCCTGCTTGTGTACGCAGATCCAAAAGTACTTTCAAATTTATTGTCTTAAAATTGATTTTTTAACAGATGCATTTTCCTCATATCTCTGACAAAGAAGACCAACACTGAGAAAAAACAGAGGATGAAGCGATGGGCTGTGAATCTGACAGTTCTCTCACTCATCACGGATTTAACTCTGAAAGGAGAGATCGGTAACATTAGCAGTGTGATATCAGTAATGTTAGTGTTCAGGCATTACGGCATGGACATATGCACACTGAGTTATCTGTGTCCTGTTTCCTGTGTCCACATATGTCCACAGCTTGACTCTATTCCAGCTACCAGCACATCTGAGTCTGGTATTAATTGTTTGACAGCTGATCATTATCTGGCTCAGGTATGTTAGGAGTACTGCTGGGGTTCAGACCTCTGTATTACTCTGTTGGTCAGTTTTTCTTTTTAGTCCATATTAATTTGTCTTAAAATTGTTTCCTATCATTTATAATTGTT